AATGATATATAATTAAAGCAAAAATATGTGTACATATTTTGCTAAAAGTTTCTACATAAGTATGTTAAAAAGCAACAGTAACAATTATGAAAAAAAATATTTTTAAATATAGTAAATTTTAAGTTATAATAACAATAATTTTAACATATGTGGTTAATAAAAAGCTTCATTAACCTTTTTGGCTATAAAAGGACTAGCTATGTGGAGAATACATAGTTCAAATTCAATAGTACTACCCAAGTCTATGTCAAATTTTATATTATGAGTTTCTCTTTCCAAAATAAGTTTATTAATTCAGCTTCCTATATCATTCGTTTCTAGAAGCATTAATTCTACAATAATACAATTTTTAATATTTTTATGTGGGTTTTTAGTATTTCATATCTTCATATTCTCAATAATAGGATCATAGGTTATACCTATATGTTTAATAAGATTTTGAAAATCAATTTTCCTCTAAAAATACCATATATAGAAATTTTTACAATAAGTGCTATTATTTATTATTTTAGAAAATTGTCTATTTTTTTTCTACTAAAATTAGAATTCCATATCATTACTCGAGAATTTTTCTTATCATTAATGCTTTAAAAATAATTTTTACTTATAGTAATTAAGTCTTTCATTGCCTGCAATTTTATATTATCCCCAACAAAAGTGAAATTATTTCCAAATAGGGTATTATGATCTAAATCTATTAGAATCCGCCTTTTACAACTAATAGGATTAATGAAATTTTTTCAACTCTCATCATTGTCTTTACTTTTTTATTCATTGAAAAGGATATTCTTTTTTTCATTGAAATCTTTCACACACTTATCTGTTAAATGAGTATATCTCTTATATCTTATTTTTTTTTTTACTCCTACTGTTCTTTCTTTTTTATCTCTCATTGTTTCTAACTTTTTGTAAATGTTCATTCAATGTTATTTTAGTCTTCCATAAAGTTTATAACATTATTTTTTTATTTTTAGTTTAAATAAATAATTTAAAAAAATGAATATACATATATATAATATTTTCTACTTATAAATTTTATAAGTTCTAATAAAAATTCATTTATTTTAAAGTGAATATAATAAATATAATTAGGTAAATAAGAATATAAATAAATGTTTTAATTTATAAATAAAATTTAATAAATGAAGAGAAAGCTCATATAATAACGTTCTAATTATATATTATATTTTCTCATTTTAATTATTATTTTGAACCTGTAATTTTTTGTATACTGAAATTGCAATTTATTTTATTTTTTCAACTTTTTTATTAAATAAATGTAAATTAATTTATCACTAATCTTCTTGAAAAAATTTACACAAGATGAATAAACAACATCGTTAATTAGTCTTCATATTTTAATATGATTTTATATATCAGAGTTAAATTTTGTTATATTCATGGTTGATTTTTAGAAAAAAATTATATTTTTTTCATGCAAATATCAAGAAATGCATGCAATGAAAGGATAAAAAAGATATCAATCAATTTTTTTATTAACAAATTTATGCATATTACTCTTAATTTATTTCAACTAAATTTACAAAAATAAATATTAATTTAAAAAAAAATATATTTTATTTTTTTTTATTAATGATTTTATGATAAACATAAATTATATGAAAAATTCATCGTTATAAAAAAAATAGATATAATAGTCATAAAAAATGTAATAATTTTTGACTTTTAAAAGTACTATATTTAATAGGGATAACAATTATAACTATAAATGAAAAATAAATTTTAATATAGGTTTTACAAAGAATCATAATAAATTTATCCTCATTTTTATGGTAGTTAAACTTAAATGTAAATAATATATTTTATTTTTGCTATTTTAATAATAGATAAATAAAATAAACTAATTTAAAATAAATAAATTGTTTATTATAGCATTTATAATTCATTAAATAAAAACATATTAACTCAATATTTTTATTATTTTTAATATATTAATTATTTTATAAGAGGTATCAATCAAATTTAATAATGAATTATTCATATTTTTAATAAAACCTAATTATTAATATAAATTCATTAGTTATATATATGATAATTTTATTTCTACTAATTTATCACTTTTTATAAAACCTGTGATAACTCCAAAAATAAATAATAATTTATCAAAAATAAATAATTCGTTTTCTTGAAAATCAAGTGTATAACAATTAAGAAATTATATAAAATATTATCAATGAAAGTATAATTAAAGAAAAAAAGTTAAAATTTATTTATTTATGCAACAATATTTTCAAATATAATATTAAGGTATTCTCTTAAATAATTATCCTTTCAAGTTAACCCTCTGTTTTGCACTGAATTATGAATTAAATTATTTTAAAGAGCTAATATGTTTCAAAAATTATTTTTCAAAATATATAATTTAAAAAAAATAATATGTATTTTTTCTTTCATTCAAATAAAATCATTAAAAAAAAATTTTTCTTTTAAAGAAATATAATTTAATTAGTTACATGCATTCCAGTAAACAATTTGCATATTATTTTTACTATAATTATTCTATTTTTCGTATAAAATTTTATATTTATATGTAAATATATATATATATATATATATATATATATATATATAAACATGTTATATTCCATTTTATTAATAAGAGTTAATTAATAATTATGTTCATAATATTTAAGTTTATTCAAAAAGTGTAAAACATATAAATTATCAAGCCACATATAATTAATAAATCACATGCATCTTTAATTTTATTTCATCGTATTTTTAAGATTTACATTTAATATCCAAAAAGTTTAAGTAAAAATTAAAATATATATAAATTTCATTTAGTTTCGTTATATAATAATTGTAACTTAATTCATAAATATATATGTGCCATATAAGTATTCATCTTTTTTCTTAATATATATTTTTTTATAATAAAACATGTGGATATGTATACAAATTCTGTTTTATTTTCAATTTTGCTTTTTTATTTACGAAAATTTAACAAATATATAAATTCATGATTTAATTAAAATGCATTCAATGCCTTTTATATAGTTATTACAATACAATTATTTCAGCTTGTATTATGTACATTTGTGTATTACGTATTTATATCACTATAGTGCATTTTGTTTTTTTCTTAGATATTCTATTTATTATTATAAAATGATGTAAAAACTGCTGCACGTGGACTTTTTAATTTCTGTTACTTTATTAACCTAAAATAAATTATTATAACGTAATATTATTTTAACATCATCAATTACATATAGATACTAGTATAAAATTACCATGAGATATATAATTCTATTTTATAATTTTATTTTCTCTATCATAATTAATATTGCTTAATAGTAATTTTATATTATAATTTTACAATTGATAACATCTTAGAATTATTCATAATTCTATATTCTTGAAAATTCATAAAAGAATCATTCATTCTGTTAAATATAATTAAAAAAATTATCTTTTTCTTAATTCATTAAAGTAAAAATGGCCTCTTTATTAAAAACCTTTTTAAATAAGAATATTATTATTTACTAATTTTATAAAAAAAAAAAAATTTAACATTTTAATTATTTTTACTTTTAATGATAGACGAGATCATTAACATATACCTAAAAATTTTTAATATGTAAATTAAAATTTTTTTATATAAAATATTCTTTTAAAATAAGAAAGCAATATAATTAAATGTGAATATATAAACAAAATATTAGGATATAAAATTTTAATTAAAGTTATTTATNGTTCTTTTTCCCATTTTTCTTTCAAATTAATAAACCATTCTTCTCTTTTCCATTTCTCTAACATACTTTTATTTCTTTCTACCCATTTTTTCCAAAGGAGTTTTTGTTTAATTTTATTTCATCGTATTTTTAAGATTTACATTTAATATCCAAAAAGTTTAAGTAAAAATTAAAATATATATAAATTTTATTTAGTTTTGTTATATAATAATTGTAACTTAATTCATATATATATATGTGCCATATAAGTATTCATCTTTTTTCTTAATATATATTTTTTTATAATAAAACATGTGGATATGTATACAAATTCTGTTTTATTTTCAATTTTGCTTTTTTATTTACGAAAATTTAACAAATATATAAATTCATGATTTAATTAAAATGCATTCAATGCCTTTAATATAGTTATTACAATACAATTATTTCAGCTTGTATTATGTACATTTGTGTATTACGTATTTATATCACTATAGTGTATTTTGTTTTTTTCTTAGATATTCTATTTATTATTATAAAATGATATAAAAACTGTTGCACGTGGACTTTTTAATTTATGTTACTTTATTAACCGAAAATAAATTATTATAACGTAATATTATTTTAACATCATCAATTACATATAGATACAAGTACAAAATTACCATGAGATATATAATTCTTTTTTATAATTTTATTTTCTCTATCATAATTAATATTGCATAATAGTAATTATATATTATAATTTTACAATTGATAACATCTTAGAATTATTCATAATTCTATATTCTTGAAAATTCATAAAAGAATCATTCATTCTGTTAAATATAATTAAAAAAATTATCTTTTTCTTAATTCATTAAAGTAAAAATGGCCTCTTTATTAAAAACCTTTTTAAATAAGAATATTATTATTTACTAATTTTATAAAAAAAAAAAAAATTTAACATTTTAATTATTTTTACTTTTAATGATAGACGAGATCATTAACATATACCTAAAAATTTTTAATATGTAAATTAAAATTTTTTTATATAAAATATTCTTTTAAAATAAGAAAGCAATATAATTAAATGTGAATATATAAACAAAATATTAGGATATAAAATTTTAATTAAAGTTATTTATAAATATTTTAGATTTTGTTATTAATGATATTTTTTTTAAAAAATAAAATTAAATAAATAAATAATATTCAGAATTTAAAAATATAAATCTTATACAAAAAAAATATTAAGGAAATAATTTAAAAAACTATAAATAATAAGAAGTAAAATATTTACACTTAATATGAGTTTTAAAAATGGCACTTCTATATAATGAGGGATGTCCAAATTCAGAAGAAGACATTACCAAATGCAATGTGCTTGCATGTTTTATGGAGGGGGGTAGGTTCTCAACGCGTCATTGCAATAATGCATTTGAATCACTTATGTTATATTATCCTTTTAATGATAATTCAAATAATCTTACAAAAAATATATTTACATTTGAGCATTCTACACCAGCTTATAATTTTCAATCTAAAGTAACAATTCTTTCAAATAATGATGGTGAAATTTTGTTACTATATGAAAAATATATACATCAATTTAGCTATTCATCTCAAAAATTCTTATGCCGTTTTCGAGATAAAGACCAAAAATTAATATTATGTGGAAAAGTTGAACGTGAATATTTGGGAAAAACTCTTTCTTTTAATTCTATTGATATAATTGATAAAAAAGGAAGAGAAAATTATAGAGTTAGACTAAAAAATTTAGAGAATCCCAGACACATAAGTCGTATATTAAATTATAATGATATATTTTTTAGTAAGGATACTTGTCATTATATGAAAGATGGACATTTTCATGAAACTATTTGCAGGTATTCCATATGTACAAAGGATCAAAATGATCATACATCATGCGTGGATGCTAAATTAAATGGAAAATTGTTTCACTTACAGAAACATTCGCAACGTTATGAAGGAAAGGAAAAATTTATATATCTCCCAAATATTTGCCTAAGTAAGGGTTTTAAAATAGATTGCACTCCTTATTTATGCGAATATGAGAGGCCGCTTGAATTAACTCCATGTAAAAAGTTAGGTATTAGTATTGTGAATAATGTAATACCACATTCAGAAAGTTCGGAAGTGAAATATACAAGAACTAAAAATTTAGTTCATGAAAACAATTTAAACATGTCTTCTCTTGTTGCAATGTCTTTTATTCCTTTCTTAATTTTATTCTTTTTCATAGGATGCTATATGTATAAAATCATTAAGGAGAATAGATCTAGAGTAAGCTAATTATAAAATTTTGAAATACATGAATCTTATTATGTATATATACACATATACATTTTTTTATTTTCTATTTTTTTTTTTGTATTTTATTAATTTAATAAAAGAAAAAATACAAAAAAAAATATATTAGTTCATATCATGTTTATTAAATAAATCCTATATTTTTTTTTTTTTTAGAAAATAAAGATGAGGTCTAAAGAACCATAATTGTTGCTCTATTAAAAAATCAAGTATTTTAGCTAAAGAATATATGTAAGGAATAAGAGGAAATTTTTATTTTTCCATTTTTATCCTTCACTAGAGTTCTTGTGTTTAATCCCAAGTTATTATTTTAGTAACATAGTATTGATTAATTTTATAATGATTTCAAAAATTATTTTTAATTATCTTTAAATAAACTAAATTACAAGTAAATTAACACATAGAATTAGCACAATATAAATATTTCATTTTGCATAACATTTTTAAGTCTTTAAAAAAAATAATTTTATTCAATTATTTTTTCTATTCATAATCTATGAACATAATCCATATATTTAAAGCTGTTAATTAATGTTTCTTTTATTTTTTTTAAATTTCACACAAAAGTAAAACATTTTCCTATAAATTATAAAAGTTAATTTTTGATTTCAATTAGTTCATTTTTTTCCTAGAAAAATCTAGAAAAAAAATTTTTTTAAACAAAGTATCTACTCTTAAAAAAATATATATTTATTTTCATTTAAAGTAAAAGTTTATAAAAAAGAAATTTTTTTTTTGTAGGGTTACTAGTTTGACTTTAAAATTACCTTTAATAATTAGTTTATCTATTTGATANTATTTAACGGTAATTTAAAACTGTGAATATTTGAATAAATAAAAAATTTCTATTCGAATATATTTTATATTGAGCATTAATACACTAATTAATATTGAAAATTTTCTAATTACTCAAATGAAACTTATTTAGAAAATTAATGTATTCATAAGTAATTATCAAATTTTTCTTTAACTTTCTCATAAATGCGTACTAAATAAAATTTAATTCTTTTTTTTTAATAAATGACTAATAAAATATATATTAAATTGTCTTTGTGCTAATCAGGTAAATATAAACATTGTTTCCTAAATTCCTGATTAAAAATCATACAAACAAAAATAATGTAAATAAACAAAGAAAAATTACATGCAATTCTAAGAATTCTATATTTATTAAAACAAAATTAAAATAAACATGTTTTTGTTCTAATATGTATATATAAATATATAACCTTTAATTTTTTATTATTTGTTATGTTCATTAATCTTTATTTTATTAAAAATAATAAAATTAAAAGAGGTACACATTTTGTAGGAATAAATATAAACAGCTAAAAATATTCAACGAAAAAGTAAAGAAGATACACAAGGAAGGAGATAAAAATATTTAAGAATAAATATAATTTATTGAGAAACACCTTTATTAAAAATATTATGCTTATATTTGCTTATAATGTTTCATATATATTATTTAAGCGTCATATTAAAGGGTTTAAATATTTTTAAATAATTAAACACATAAATTTAAATATGATTTCTCATTAAAATGAGCAACAAGACTAGTTAAAATTAGTGAAGATTACTATTTCTGTCCTTTATTAATTTGACTAATGAAAATATTATGAAGATCTTTTATCGAATCAATAATAAACTATCTAACTGTAAAGTTTATTTATTAACTGGGTGTTTTGTGACTTGACTAGAGTACTGAACAAACAAATTAATAAAGAGCATGTGGAGATGCCTCTACGATTTTGTTGTATTTATATATATTTTTATATGCTTTGAACGAGTGATTCTTGATTATGTGCTATACTTCGTTCAACATTCTTTAATTTCAATAGGCATTTATTTACTTTAATGAAAATCCCTATTTTTATTAAAAATTTAAATCCTTATTGAATATTGTTTATTAATTAAATGTAAATTACTTATTTCTTTCCTATGAGTTATGTTCAGAAATTTAAATATATTTCTGTTGAATTGAAAAACTAAACAATTAGTAAAAATGAAAATAAATTATATGAATATTAATTACGTGAAAATTTTATTATCATATGTATAAAATTTTCTCTCATAAATTCAAAATATAAATATTATTCAAATTAAACTCTTTACAAAAACATTATTATCTTTTGTAAAAAAAAAAATCTCTCCCTCCATTAAAACGTCCTTTCCCCAAAAAAAAAATAATAAATCTTTTTTTTTCTTTTTTTTTTTTTTTTAGTTAGCGCATCTACGTATTCTCCACATAGCTAGTCCTTTTATAGCCAAAAAGGTTAATGAAGCCTTTTAATATCCAATTATAGAATTAATGTAATATTTGAATAAATTAAAATAGTAGGGTAAACTTAATATGATTTTTATTAAGTTTATACAATACTTGGTTAATAAAAGGATTTATTAACCTTTTCGATAATAAAAAGGACTAGCTATATGAAGAATATTAGTTAATCATGCACACGCAAATAAAAAAAAAAAAAAAAAAATTTATTAATTATTTTTGTTATCTTTTTATAAATTCAAAAATGTAAAAAAAATATATTTATTTTTTTTTTAAGAAAAAAAAAAAGTGTAGAAAAATTGGTTAAAAATCAATTAGAAAAATATTTCTTACCAATAAGAATGAGGTATTAAACATACAAAAGATATTTACATACAAAAGAATTTAATTTACATAGTATTTATATTTTAAATTTGTAAGAGAAAATTTTATACATATAATAATAAAATTTTCACGTAATTAATATTCTTATAATTAATTTGAATTTTACAAATTGTTTATGTTTGTAAATTCAACAGCAATATGTTTAAATTGCAGAATCTAACTCACAAAAAATAAACAATTTACAATTAATTAATAATCAATGTTAAATAAGGATTTTTATTAAAGTAAATATATACCTATTGAAATCAAAGACTGCTGAATGGAGTAGATTACACAATTAAGGATCACTCGTTCAAAGCATTTAAAAATATATATAAATTCATCAAAAATTGTAGAGACAACTCTACATGCTCTTTATTAATTTGTTTGTTCAGTACTTTAGCGAAGTCACCGAACACCTAGCTAATAAATCAACCATCTATTGTTGTACAGAGATAAATATTCATTATTATAATTATGAAGTAATTATTGATTCTTTTTAATAATTTCAATTTGTAATAAATTTCTATTATGAAATATATTAATTACTAAGTATTATACAAAAAAAAAAAAAAAAAAAATCGTCTATATAAATTTACTAAAAAATTATTAATATATATTCATATTCAATTCAGAATAAAATTTAAAACTTCAAAATTAAAAACTAAAATGTGATTTAAGTCTAGAGTATGAAAATACTCGTATTATTTTCATCATAAAATCACAAATTAATTCACTAATTAGACATAGCTATATCTATTATAATTTCAGAATAGGAATCAAAATATCTATGTAATTATATATAAGATATAGGTCATATGTGAATTATTTATCATTAAATGTTTGTTAAAATATATTATAATATATTTCATATTAGAAAGTTTTTCTAGAACTTAAAAATAAATTTTTTAAAAAAACAAATTTCTTCTAATTATTTTACAATATTAATTTAATTAATAAAAAAATAACACATTATATATATAAAAAGGTAATTCATCATATATTAAAAGTTTACGATAACGGACAAATTAAAAGAGGAAATTTTAAAGAATCAATAAATAGTATATCTTTACTATAAAACAATCTAATTTTTACATATAATTCAATGAATAAATTAAACTTACCTACTTATAACATTATGTTAGAAGTCATAATAATATTTAAGATATTATTAACTTCTATATCCTGTAATTTTCTTTTAGAGGACAATTTTTTTTAAAAAAATTATTCATAATTTGATTTTACATATTATTGCTATTTGATTTCAAATCTAACAAAAGAATTGAATTTAATACAAGATATAAAGTAGTAACTATATCGACCCCTTAACATATATATTATCTTTATCATTAGTAGAAAGTGCTATAATAATGATTTATTAACTGGATGTTCGGTGACATTACTAGAGTACTCGTTAATAAAAGGCCTCATTAACCTTTTTGGCTATAAAAAGGACTAGCTATGTGGAGAATACATAGTTAGTTGTGCTAACTAAAAAAAAAAAAAAAAAAAAGAAAAAAAATTATTGGAATTTTTTTTTTTGAGAAATGTTTCTTTCGAAAAAGATAAAGATAAAAATAAAAAAAAAATAAAAAGATTTGATTTTTTTTTTTTTGAGGGAGAGAGATTTTTTTTTACAAAAAATAATAATGTTTTTGTATAGCGTTTAATTTGCATAATATTTATATTTTGAATTTATGAGAGAAAATTTTATACATATGAAGATAAAATTTTCACGTAATTAATATTCATATAATTTATTTGCATTTTTAATAATTGTTTATGTTTGCTAATTCAACAGCAATATATGTAAATTGCTGAATATAACTCACAACAAAAAGATAATCAAGTTACATTTAATTATTAGTCAATACTCAATAAGGATTTAAATTTTTAACAAAAATAAAGATTTTTATTAAAATAAATAAATGCCTATTGAAATTAAAAAATGCTGAACTAAGTAAATCATATAATTAAGAATTACTAGTTAAAAGCATTTAAAAATATATACAAATACATCAAAACCGTAGAGTAAACTCTGCATGCTGTTTATTAATTTGTTTGTTCAGTACTCTAGGAAAGTCACCGAATACCGAGTTAATAAATCACTATGTGAAGAATACGTAGTTGGTTGTGCTAACTAAAAAGAAAAAAAAAAAAATTATTGGAATTTTTTGAGATATTTTCCTTTTGAAAAATGGAGATAAAATAAAAAAAAAAAAAAATATATATTTTTTTTTTTTTTGAGAATGATTTATGGAGCGAGAAATATTTTTTTACAAAAGATAATAATGTTTTGATAAAAGAGTTTAATTTGCATAATACTTATATTTTGAATTTGTGAGAGAAAATTTTATACATGTGATTTATTAACTGGTTGTTCGGGGACACTACTATAGTACTGAACAAACCAATTAATAAAGAGCATGTAGAGATGTCTCTACGATTTTTGTATATTTATATATATTTTATTTGCTTTGAACGAGTGATCTTTAATTATAATCTACTTCGTTCAACATTCTTTTATTTCAATAAGTATTTA